ATATATATATATATATATATATATATATATATATGCTGGCGCTTGTAAACTTAACCCCACGAAACGTACGAATTAATTAAACTAAGAAATTAAATTTAGTTGAGCTGTCTGTACACCTCAGCAGCCTTAAACCCTAAACCCTAAACCCTAAATATTACAAATCCTGGAAAACCTGAAAAAAGGGTTTATTGTGTTTTACTTGAATTCATATTTCTGAAGTAAACAACGAGCAGGCGAGCTGCCGACGGGGGGGGGGAGAAACAGAAAAAAGCAGTATTGTAAAAAAACGAAAAAACAGAAACTGTAATTTATTTTAATTGTTTTCAGCATAAATAAACAAATAAATCCCGAAAATAACTTAAAAAAACATAAAACAAAAAAAAGAAATACACAAATACCCCCCCCTTCCCCCCTGGCGGGCGCGCCTCACTGGATGCAGCTGTCGGTAGCCGTTGTATGATCTCGAGCAGTTTTTGTTGAAATTTAAAAATTTTTGAAATAAAAATAAACTTTTCTGAATAAATAATTATTTTTTTATTAATTTAAGGGGTTTTTGAGCCAAGAAGGTTGGAATTAAGTGGAGGATTCCACTGCTTTCCTTTTTTTGATTTCGGGTGTATAGGCACCTCGTGTTGCACGCATTCAACTTTCACCGCCAGAAATGCAATTTGAATCTTTTTTTAAACATGGTGATGGATATGGAGGAAAAGGAATTCATTTATTTCCCCCTTCTGCTGAATGGAGTTTAATATTTCTGCATGGACGCGGTGATAGAGGTGAAGGCTGGGGGTTTCTCTCTCAGCTATTGAACAGCCGTCGTGCTCTTTGTGGTGTGTTTCGTTTGATATTTCCAACAGCATCTGAAATATATATAACAAAATATAAAATAAAATGCAATGCTTGGTTTGATTCACGTTCAGATAGGCGAGATATAGATGAAGATGAAAATGGGTTTCGCAACAGCTCACACAGAATACAAGAAATAATTAAAGGAGAAATAAAACAAGGAATTCAATCCAATCATATTCTTCTCGCGGGATTCAGTCAAGGAGGAGCTATGGCTTACTATATACCCATGCATACACAGCTGCAGCTCGGTGGTGTTATCTGTCTTAGTGGCTGGTGCCCTTTGCTGCAGCAGTACGAGCAGCAGCAGCAGCAGCAGCAGCAGCAGAGCAGCAACAGCAGCAGCAGCAGCAGCAGCAGCAGCAGCAGCAGCAGCAGCAGGGATGCATTTACATACGGAGATTTCCCTTTTTTACATATGCACGGAACAGCAGATGAAGTTGTTTCTTATGATTTCGCTTTTGCAGCATTTCAAAGAGCTGTTGCTGCTGCAGAAAAAGCAGCAGCAGCAGCAGCAGCAGCAGCAACTGCTGCTGCTGCTGCTGCAGCAGAAACAACAGCAGCAGCAGCAGCAGCAGCAGCAGCAGATAAAAACTTACAAAAAAGATTTATATTTAAAACTTATGAAGGCCTTGCGCATGAATCAAATGCAATAGAGATGGATGATTTTCTTGACTTTATAGAAAGCTGTATAAAAAGAAATAAAATAAAATAAAATAAAATAAAATAAAAATAAAATAAAATAAAATAAAATAAATTAAAATAAATATAAAGTAAATTAAAATAAATATAAAATAAAATAAATTTTATTTCTCTTTCTCTGTTTTATTTTTTGAAGTTTGGGTGTATGTGCAGCTGACGAGACCCAGCAATATATACAGCACCAGAAAAAAGCAAATATTTATAAATAAATAAAATAAATAAAATAAATAAAATAAATAAAATAAATAAAATAAATAAAATAAATAAAATAAATAAATAAATAAATTAAACAAATATAAACTGCTTCATATAAATCTTTTTGTTTATATTTTTTCGTTTATTTTCATTTAATAACTTTTTATTTTTTTTTTTTGGTTTTATTTTGTTTGTATTGAAACAAAAAAAAGAAATTCATATTAGGGTTTAGGGTTTAGGGTTTAGGGTTTAGGGTTTGTGTAGCTGCATGCACGTTATTATAATATATGTTGATGAGTAAAGAGAAATTAAAAAATAAAAACAAAAATAAAATATAATTTTAATATTTTTTTCGCTTTTTTTGAGTTTTTTCAGGTGTATGTACACCTGCACTATGCTGCAGTTTCCTTCTTTTTCTCTCTTTCTTTTGTATTTATATATTTGCTTTTTAATTTGTTTTCTTTATTTACAATTAATACTAATACGCCTATAGCAGCAACTAGAACAGCAGCAGCAGCAGCAGCAGCAACAGCAGCAGCAGCAGTAGCAGCAGCAGCAGCAGCAGCAGCCGCCCGGTTCTGCTGCAGCAGCCTGTATTTGACATTGTCATCTCCCAAAACGGATAATATTAAAAAACAAAATAAAAAATAAAATAAAAAAATG